ATATATATATATACTTAACTTAAAACCATTAATGAAAGTCATCCACGTTTTGTGTAATCCACACATAACCAAATCCCATAGAAAAAAGGTAAATTTCTAACTTGCATAGCCCAACAGTTCTCATTTCGGTCTATTTTTCTAATCTGTAAATCATAACGTTTCACTAAGCAGCTGTTCTTATCAGTGTGAATAATGTATAACCAAAATCGAATTATATTAAATAGACATGTAACAGATAGGGAAAACCGTCCCATTTCTGATAGGATCGAGATGTCGGGCTCGTTATTCCCCACACTTATAACATATCTACAAAAATGGTTATGGACACGCTCAAGCATTGTGAAGTCTTTAAAGCCCCAGATTTCTGATCCATACGTGATAATCGGTAGTATTTTAGAGTCGAATGTAAGATTCCATCCATTATTATTTAAATTTCAAATATTGCCTTTGAAATTGAATTGAAAAAGAATGTTTTTTCCAAAGGCCATTAGCATAGTATAATACACCTAGGTATTTAAATGAATTAACAAATTTTCCTTTGTAATACCATGTTTTCCGAGTGTAGGAATTAATTATATTAATCGATACCGGTAGTTTTTGGGATCTAAACGGTTACCTTTTTTGTATAGGTACAATTAAATTGGCAGCCCACCGTTGGGAAAATAAGCAATTGAAAACATTAGATTAAACAGAATATTAATTTTACTAAAAACAAAATTGGGTATATTTGTGAAAATTCCGATGATCATACTATTAGGGGATATGACTTCTTCGGCCGCCGACACCTTCGGCCGCGCGAGATTTATATGGAGCGCCAGTTGGGCATTTCTCCACACCGCATGCTGTGGCGGCGTATGCCTAATTTTAAGCCTTTGCTAAACTAAATTGCTGTCATGTCGCACTGTAATATTTACGTATTTATTTTAGGTATTATATGTATATAATAATTGCTTTCATGTACAGTATTAGTTATTTACTTATTTATTTCAGGTATGTGGATTTCTTTTTAAGTGTCTTATATTGAAGAATTGTAAAGCTTCAGTTTATTTGTTTTACAGAACAGTATTGTTATTCATTATACAATTTGAAACTGTAGGATTCATTGTACAGTAATTCATATTTCCAGTATAAGTATAAGCTCCAGTATTTTATTTATTAATAGACTACAAAATCCTTTTTTACTGTATTTTTATGCATATTTCGTCAGTTTCCTTTATCCACAAAATAGAATTTCGTCAAATAAAATTTAGAATGATACACATGCACAAATTTCGTCCTTTATCCACAAAATAAAATATTTTTTTAAATAATTTTATTTTTATGTCTGTTGTCTGTTCATGTTATCTTTTCGTACAAGATCGGATGTAAAATAACACATTAGCGAGGGTGATGAAAGTGTGTTATGTACAAGAGTTGGAAAAAGAAATCTAGAGTAAATTTGTTAATCATTAGTCAATTAAAATTCTTTAGGAATATCTCTCTATTCTCATGCCCTTAATGTACATACACTTTATATCATTAAAGCCAATCAATTAATTTTTTTAACTGAAATTTTAACACACTATTAATATTAATTGTTGCGACATGTTCTGTGTGTATAGGCCTATCTCTAACAATGTAAGCTTGAGTGTTTCTGAAATTTGAGGTAAAGAATTAGTACGGTATCTGGTGCTTTGCCTGTCTTCTGTGCTTTAAACGATATCTTTACTTCATCTCGATTAATGTCTACATTTAATTTATTATCATAATTCGGGCTGTCTATTTCGTCATCTAAAATATTGGTGTTTGCGATTGATTGCGATCTTTGATGCTATTATAGGTTACTAAAATAATCATACCATTGTGTTAACTAATTTCATTTGAAGGATGTTTATTTTCTTTAAGTTTAAACTAGATTTTTTTTCCATCTTTATCATTAAGTGTTTTGATAGTGTTTTGTCGACTCACCCTATAATTATTTATTTTTGTGGATTTTATGAAATTTTTATAACTATTTATTGCCTGTGTTTTCGGCTAAGTCTAAATTTATTCAACTTTCTTTCAACATGATTTTTTAAAGTTGAACACTCTTCATCGTACCACGTGCATCTATTCTTTTTGGACCTGTGTGCAAATTTCTTATTTTTTGTCACACTTGGTTTGGTGATGCCTGTGCAAACGTAATCAATTGCTTTTTCGAAAAATGAAACAGCCTTGTCAACTTTATTATCATGGGATTCAAATCCGAGGCCAAACACATCAAAGAAAGGCAAATACAGTGCTCGAACAAAGGAAACGATGATACATCGTGCAGCGTCGCTCTCAACGAATGAGAGCGATGCTACAATATGCACCTCCACCTTAACTCGACCATTTCACCCACCCTCCTTGACAATTTATATATATTATAAACATATATATATATATACATATATAGATATATATATATATGATGAAGACGAAATATTCGTGTTAAATAAATTGTGTACCAATTAAAAATACGTCAACTTGACTTTTGTTTTTATTGTCATCGCC